CCCCCCCCCCCTGTAGCGACGTCCCTGCGCGCATCTTGCCACGGTTCGCTTATGAATATTGTTATACTGCCTAAAACGAAATAAAATGAGTGACATATCACATTAAATATACCTTATTGTATTGTATTGTGCGCTCTTCAGAATAAAGATCTCGGCGCCAATACTTCTACTCAAACTGTAGTTTACTGCTCATGGCGCCTAGCGACTGCTCAATCGAACTCTCCGATATAGCGTCGATTTTCCTGGCAAGATCAGCCAAACAAACTTGTAAGACAGCTAAATCATTCACCGCAAATGCGGATTGAACCGTTTCATAAATACTACAAGGAGTAGCAGACATTTCCGAATTTTCCGTAGAAATCTTGAAATAATTGAATATCTCCACAAAACTCCAACATGACACTTTGAATGAGCGGGCGCTCGGAAAGACCTTAGCACGCGTCAAATATTAATGATATTCCGACTAATGGTGCGCCCCTGACTTTTGTAAATCGGTCAGAACTCCCCACAGATCAGTCAAAATCGAAACAAAACGCTTATTTTCATAGAAATAAGCGTCTAGACCAATCAGAACACTGTATTTTGACTTTTTGACTGATCGACGTTGCGTATGTCAGCTGCTCATTCACTTGAACCTGGTCGACTGTATGAAATTTTTAATTGCTAGCGCTGCATGCATGATAATAGAAACTGCATGTTGTAAGGTGCCGCTGCGTGATAAAAAATAACTGGACTATTGGTCGTATATTTAAGACTTTAATATCAAGTTTACAATTTTTACGTCAGTCGCGTGATCGGTTTGACGACCCCTAGATCCGCCAGAGCATGGCAATTTTCTTATAAGAAAAAGAGCGGTTTCGAGAGCCGGATCGGAAAGTGTTGAGCGCAGTATTGAAAATGTAAGGAAAGCCACTCCATGTAGCACGATGTCGATGTACAAAAATCGGTGGGTCGTTCGTATTTTTGAAGAGTGGCAAGGCGTGTGATGTAGTGTGTATATTTGCGTTATAAATAGGTTAAATTGTGACAAACTGAACACTATCGCGAGTATTGATATTTGAGGTAAGCCATTTTTAGGATGTAAAATATTAATATAAGAATATAAAACTTATACAGACAAGTGAGAAGATAATACCTCCTCAACACTTTATATAATATCTACTGCCACGTACTTTAGTATAGTCTGTAAAACTAATTAGTCTACAAATTGTCTCTTATCATAATTGTTAATTGAAGCATCTTTTCTACAGCATCAAAGTCCTCAGTTTTTAATAGCTAAATTATATCTTCCCAAAAAGTTTGCAAGTCAAATTATAGAATTGGAATACATTTTTGAATACAACAATTCAACCAAAATATAATTATTTTGGCCCCTATTCCCATTGAAATATTATACATATGTTAAGAATGCACATGTTTTTGGAGGATAAAAAATGATTTTGGTATTTGCTTTGCAAAGGTTCATTTTGAAGGTTCGTTTTAATATTTGATATTCTGTTTATATATCAGAACTCACGTTATTACAATGCAAGTCGCGGAATGTTGGAAGAATACTCGAGAAGTGTGTAAAACACTCGGCTGCGCCTCGTGTTTACACGCTTTTGGCGTATTTCCCCACCATTTTCCTTGTGCATTATCACACCATAAACGCACACGAAGTGATGTTTTCTATTTCTTTTATAATATATGAGCAGAAGAACAGCATTACACAGTAAACAATATCATTCAAAAGATCGATTAGAAATTCTCTTAACATGTAATCAATGAGTCACACGCGTGATTAAATTAATCAATTACCACAAAAATATTGTGATAATTCTTCAATAAAAGCAATAATATACATCTTTAGGCCAAGGGCCCTAAAGCTCGCAACATTTCGTCGAAATATTCGACATAAGAAAGCATGCATATTCACAGAATATTTAAAATAAGAACGCTTGATACAAGCTACTAAAAGTTACCACCACGAAAGTGGTAACAACATTGGATGGTTACTACCATCAGGTTCTAACAAACAATAAAACACATCTTTAGAACATGTTGTAACTGTCGAACGCATCATCATTGTCTGGGACAATAATGGGATCAGGAACCATACCATCAAAGAAGAAATCTTTCAAACCAATGGTCTCAAGATTATCACCAAAAAAGGAGTCGGTGGAATAGATACTCCTGGATTGGGAGATAATGGAATCCAATGGGCTGGGAAGAATGTTGGGTTCGGGTTCGGAATTTGGTTCCCGACAAGCTGATGATCGAACTGGGTTCTCTTTCTCCTCTTTGATAACAGGTTTATCCTCATTTTCTCCAATACACAAGGTTGGGTCATAACCAAGGATTCCTTCAATATCACACAAGAAGCGGTAAACATATTGCTTCCCGTGGACCTTACAAATGATATTTTTGCCGTAGTAGAAGCGCAGACCACGACTCAACTTCTCGTAGTTCATATTTGGCTTATTTTTGCATTCCCCCCATAACTTGGCGACATTTTCTTTTCCGCGTAGCCTGAATTCAAATTGGTCTTGACCAGTCCATTCAACATCAGTTTGCTCCTCATCAAGAAGCAATTCTAATATAAATTGCCAAAGCCGAATTGGTCCTTTGCCTTTAACATAAAAACACCAAATTAATTTTTACAGATTTAATCAAATCAAATTTATTCATTCTATGCAGTGCTTACGAAGTTTCAATTAATTTATCTGCACATATAACATCGGGGCATATGACCACTGGCACTGATGGGAAAAATATTCAAGTTGGAAATATTCAAGTTGGAAATATTCAATTCAAGTTGGAAATATTCAAGTTGGAAATATTCAATGTTGGAAATATTCAAGGAAAAATTTGCAGGGATCCCTGGATCCTTACACTCTTCCCACAAGCCATGTGTAAAGTCCCTAATTGATTTACAGTAGTAAGTAGTTTATATATTTACCTGAGTATCTTTCTATAGGCTTTGGTCCTCGTTTATAACCAGATGGGGAGCGACCTGATGGTGATTTAACAGGAGAGGAATCTGGGCCAGGTAACTGTGGCTGAGGTGAGTGGACTGATGAATTATCCAAATCTGAAATTTGGAGACAACAGAAGTAACAATATATTATAGGTTTTACAATAGAGTTTTGTGCGGTAATGTGCATTCCAACATCCAAACTGCGATCGCTACAAACTTCGATATTCAAAGGTGTACACACGTTAAGCCCCTCCCACCCTTGCGATTTCCAATTTTTGCATAAACCTCCCAATGTAAGCCCCCTCCGTATATAAGCCCTTCCATGAAGCTGCACTTTCTTTAGGAAGTGCCTTGTCAGTAAGGCTTGACAAATATGGGTATTTTCCCTTTTTATTATAATCTAAAACCAAATATCAAATTTAAGGAAAAGTTTTGGATGGTACTTGGTATTGGTGTAAATTATTAATAATTCTCTAGCAGAAGGCATCAAATAAGTGTAAATTTACAATACACGATTAACATAATATAACTTAAAGCTAGTGAAATAATCTATGTATGAAATAGTCTATCTATTATATCTGTTTTACTCAGATTTATTTAATAATCCATAATCTGTATAAACGATGATCTTATATAGTATGTATTTTAATTTTTAAGATTATAACTCACCACGGAAAATTCTCTGTAGTGATTCCCATAGGATTTCTCCGATCGCTATAGAAGTATTAAAGCACAGATTGTGCTTTGTAAGTCTGCATAACGCTTTCCCATCGTATTGGTCCAAGACGCTTGAGTCTTGAATGCCAAGGTTGAACTTGTCTTCAGCCCATCTTAGCCATTGACGGACGTCCTGAGATGTCCAGTCTTTAGGATCTGTAATATATAGGAAACCCTGTAATCAATCATCTGCTCAAATTTGCCAAACAATGAAACTAGTTTAATAATTATCCAACTATTTAGTTGTAGAATAACAGGAGTTCCATTTTAACTTGTGCTGAATTTTGAATACAGCTGTATCAAAACAGGTTGTCCTTCAAAAATCTTAAACCTTAAACTCTAAGAAGCGCGCAAGGTGTGATGGGTAATTTCTTACTTTAGGCCTAAAAACGTGCGAATTTTGCATTGTAACTATGGCAAGACAGACAAGAAGCACTTAAGATGTACAACTAGCAGTGTACTAGGATTATTTGCCAAATCCAAAGCCCTAAAAAGAAGTTAGCCATCACTCTTTGCGCGCTTAGAGTTTAAGGTTTGAGACTTTTCTAAGGACAACCTTTTTTGAATTAGCTGTATATACGGCCCGGTCATGTTCAAGTTTGAATATTGTCATATTGAATACTGTCATACTGAATTTTGTACTACAGTATAGAACTCCGCCAAAGTGAAATATAGTTCCTATCACAGTGTTTAACAGAAACGTACATTTAAGTAAATAAATAAATAAATAATAATAAGTAATAAATAAGTAATAGTAAGTAAATTTTATGCATAAAGAAACTGTTTACGAAGCTGCTTTAAATTCCCAAGAGCAACAAATTGTGCGCCTTACAAAAATATTTTAATTTCTTAATTAATAAGTCAATATTTATAATATATGCACCCTGTAAATCAAATTTACGCATCTTTGCGTTCAGCTTAGCGCTGGGGCGTTCGGATTCTAACGGTACGTTGTTTCAGTGGTTTTGGGTTTTTGGGACACCTTATACTACTACGTGACTTTAATTATAAAAGGTATATGTTAGCCAGAGGATGGGCACCATGCAATGGACATTACGTCCAGTTCGTGACTTGCCCGTTTGAGTACAGCACTTTTTTTGTTTAATTGAATGTTTAGATGAATAGTTGTATATATATTTTGAATGAATTTGTACTCAATAAAGTTTAACAAACCCAAACCCTAAGTACTTATCAACAGTACCTATAAGCTAGATCGGTAATGATCGATGCAACTTGTTGAACCTTTTATCTCTTTATCGACTTGTATTACGTTTGTATGAATAGAAATCCAAGTTTCCGACTTATCAATGTGCTATGTTCTGACATT